ATGTAGCAGGCAGGAATTTTTGGTTATGTTCAATAGAATCCTTTGTAAGACATGAGCTGCTTCTCGTTTTGAACTTTCTCGAGCGATTTCATTTTTGATCTTTTCAAGTTGAATTTCGCTCATCCCTGACAGACGGGTGTTTGCTAGACTTTTTATGTTTGAAGCTGTTCATCTTTACATAGGTGCACCATTTTGTAGTTGATAGTTGATCACGTTATATTCTGTTATACTCGCTCTGGTCGGTCTCAGTTCTATGGGACGTCCTGTTCATTGCGCTTCACAATACCAGTTTCCAAAGCTGTTTTGGCGTTGCGATTATGTATCGCTCAGATTAGAAACATGACATCGTTCACTCGCTTTAGTTTATACTCTAGGTCCTTTTTGTTTTCCATAGAAATCTAGGATCTAGTTACATTTACCCGGTACCCTTATGGTGAGTTTTCTAATCCTGCCTATGCGTGACTCATGTATGTTGGGTTACTTTGTTATCCTACGTTATATCCTAACATTGCTATGAAACTGCCTCTTGAATATATTGCTTATAGGAGTCGGCTCTAGTCAATAGAGTTCTAGATGAATATTTTACATCTGCCCACGTATATGATATGTATGTGCGTTTTTTCGATGAGTATCTGAGTTATACATCTTTTTCTGAAATATATCTAGGGATTCAAATAAGTTTCTTTTTGTGACCTGGAAAATCAGGCTCAAAGGCCGAGAGTTTCGAGTTACTATTATCTTATCGTTAGGTAGACGGCTTTTGATGACGATTCACAAGATAAGAAGTAGTTCCAGGTGTGTTTCACAGCAGTATTTAATGGCGCTTTGAAAAGTAGTGTTCGTTAAAGAACCTTGTAAGATTATGGTAAGTCTCTTCGTTTTTTGTGATTTTCATGAAAGTCTCTGCTGTTTTTTTTGTCAGAACTGTGTACAAATATGGATATTGTTGTTGATGGTGGCGATCCCAGTAGGGCAATGCAGACATTCTCGTTGGCATCCATTTATTGCGTCGCCATGGCAAGCTCGTTACTCGACGTTTTCCCAGGTGCGATCTTATAATTGTATTGATTTTGGTTTTTTGAAGCCTAAGTCAATATCGAATATGCCACCTCAATAAAGCTATGAAACGAAGTTTATGGCCGAATCGGGTCCGGAAGTTTTGAGTTTGGCTTTATTCTTTTGGCAAACACTAGTTACCTAGCACACTTTAGTTAGAGTTAGTACTGTTTTATTAAGTCTCAAGCATTGCTTATTCGTTGAGGGTGAATAAAGCATGGTCCTTTGAGAATTCCATTTCAGGTAGAACGTCAAGATGCATTACGAGAAGCGAGGGAAATGTTTTACTTCGGTTACGAGAACTATATGAGTCACGCTTTTCCAGCTGACGAGCTAGATCCGATCCACTGCGCAGGCAGGGGGCACGACCATGGCAATCCGTGGGGCTTTTGAAAATCATTCACTATTCATTGTTGATTGAATGCGATACATTTTCAGTGCAAATATAAATATTAATGATGTACTAGGAGATTACTCGCTGACGCTGATTGATTCATTGGACACGTTAGTTGTTTTAGGTAAGCTGCATTCGCATTTTTGATTTCTGCATAGCTTATTGGTCCATTTGTATCTATGCGAAAGAAAAAAAATTAGGTGATCGTGATGAATTCAAAAGAGCTGTTTCGCTGGTTATCAATTCGGTTGATTTTGAGAAAAACACAACTGTACAGGTTTTCGAGGCAACCATCAGGCATGTTATATAAGTTGTATTTAGTTCTATCGTTATCTCCTTTCTGAGGCATAATTGTAAACTTTCCTGAGATTTTTATGCAGGCAAGAGATATTTATAATTACAAATTTATTCCAGGGTGATAGGTTCGCTTCTGTCAGCTCATCTGATTGCTTCCGGCGAATCACATCTTCTGGGAGATTTTCATATTCCCGAATACGATGGTGAACTGCTCACTTTAGCTCATGACTTGGCGGCTCGTCTTCTGCCGGCATTCGAAGGTACCAGAACAGGTAATAATTGATATACTACTGCTAACTCATTCTCAAGTTATTATTCTAGGATTACCATATCCACGAGTTAACCTGATTAGAGGGGTACTGCCAGGTACTGTAGAAGAGACATGTACCGCCGGGGCAGGCTCTCTACTTGTCGAATTCGGGATTTTGTCGCGGTTGTTGGGTGACCAGGTACGATTCGATGTCACTTATACAAATGGTGATTGTATTTTAGATTGATTATATTTTTAGACTTTTGAACGCATTGCTAGGCGCATAAATGAGGAGCTCTGGCGATTGCGGGATAGGAACACTGGTTTACCAGGTATCCACTTAATCTCTTTATTTCGCATCTTTCTAGATTTCCCCACTTTATTGTAACTTCTTGAAAATTTAATGAAGGCAATCTCATCAATATTCAAACTGGCGAGTGGGTCGGATATCTTAGTGGAGTTGGTGCTGGATTGGATTCATATTACGAATACTTTCTCAAAGGTAGTTTTGATCTCTGTTAGACCTTTAATTTTCTTGATGATTTCTATGCTCTCTACTAGACCCCACCAAACATAGTGCCGGCTTATTATGGCCTTTTTAGATTTTAGCAATTCTAGATTTTCTGTATCAGAAAGTGTCTGGACCTGTTGAGAATACTATAACTGCCTGCGTCTTGACCCGAGATCTGTACGAGTCGAGTGAATGAATTTTTTCAGCTTATATACTGTTTGGTGAGCCTCGCGATTTACAACTGTTCAACGAAGCGTATGACGCCATCCTGGCAAACTTGAGGCGAGGACGGTCAGTTTACTTAGCATCTGTCATTTACNGACTTTCCTGTTTTGTCTTTATGTAACTGACTTCAGGAGCCTTTGTAACTCCGACGGTGAACCACCGCTTTTTGTGAACGTTGATGCACGTGATGGTAGTACAGCGAATACGTGGGTGGATTCTTTGCAAGTGAGTATTACATTTCGTGATGCCTGATCTGTCATTATTATTACTATTGTATGGCTTATAAATGTGGCCTTTGTTGGCTTTTGTTGGTGTTTCCTTACTGTATTCAATACCAGTTCTCTTATTTTTTAAAAGCATTCAACGTAATACGTCCTTCCTGTTGAAGTAAGTCAGAGGCTGAGATTAGAGGGTGACATGGAAGAATGGGAACAGAGTTGGCAAGATCCTTTTCACTACTCATTAGCTGGTTGAAGCGATGGCACTGCCCGCGTAACTCGACAATTGAAATGGAACTGGATTGAATTGAAAAACATAGCGGCTATACATAGAATTAGAAACTTTTTGAATTGTCTTCTATTAAGGCGAGTTTCGCTGGGCTTTTGGTCCTTGCTGGTCAACTTGACGAAGCCATCTGTCAGCATGCGTTCTACTATGCTGTTTGGAGCAAGTATGGAGTTCTCCCTGAACGATACAACTGGCTTCTCAAGTAAGCTTCTCGTTTGAACCAGCGAGCTTTTCAATCTAATTTCAGTATGTTCATTAGTCAGATTTCTTTTTCCATGCATCCGTACTGGTTTTGATACTTTAAGGCGTCCTGATGTGAAGTTCTATCCGTTGCGTCCAGAGTTTGTCGAATCTACATATTTACTATACCGTGCAACAAAGAATCCGTTCTATTTACACGTTGGACGAGAAGTACTCAACTCATTGAACACCATGACGAGGGTGAGAGATGTTTTTGAATAAAATTCAGCACCCAAAAAGAGTCATTTCAGGTGAGGTGCGGATTTGCCACGGTTCATAATGTAGACGACGGCAGCCTTGAAGATCGGATGGAATCTTTCTTTCTTGCAGAAACAATGAAATATTTGTACCTTGTAAGTAATTGTCAAGCGGAAGCGTCTGCGTGGTCGTAAAAATCCATCCTTTTTCCTTTTGCAGTTATTCGATGAAGATAATCCAGTAAATCGGCATCAGGAGCGCCTTCTTTTCACCACAGAAGGCCACCTTGTGCCAGTTCTTCAACGGTTTAGGTAACTTACTGTTTAATGCAGAGTTCGCTTCCTTTTGAGGACTGATTTTAGGAACCATTCCCTTCTGGAGTTCCCAGGATCCGAGCCAATTAGCTCACCGGAATCGCTTGATGAGTCGGAGCCGTCTGTGATAATATTGGGTGAGTTTTATTGAATCCTCATGAGATGTTCTCAGTCAGTGATAGAGATCTTGAAGATCTGAGCTCCATAGAATCCGTTGCGACCTGCTATTTCACACTGTTACTTTTCTTTAATCGAAAGAGACTTTCTCCGTCCTTTCCTAGACCCAAAATGCTCTAGTGGCCATACTATTGTTGAGTGGGTGTTATGGGCTGGATACACTGTCGTATATTTTGAAGACTCAAACAGGGCCACAAACAGCCTCATTTCAGTTTTCAAGGCTCAATTTCTTATCGGAACAAAAGTAAGTTTTAGGTAAAAGCGATAAGCCACAACGAAGCCGCGACAGCTATGGAAGGTCAGTGGGAAATTTATCCTGTGAGACTACGGAGGCATTTCCACGCCATGTTCCACCGCTTGAAGATTATCATATGCGAGAGATTTTTCAAACTGTTGGCTTGATGTGGGAATGGTTCAGCTGATTGCTGGCAGAATCCTTGGAAACTTCTTCTTTCTCCCTTCCTTCTTTCTTGCATTAGTCAGTTAATCTTTTTTTCCTAAGTAGTCGTTTTTCTTTCTTTTCTGCTGTGCTGTGGTCCCTTTTTTTTACTAGTAATGAGAGCTTGATCATTTGGGTAGCTTGTGATACCTTCTGTGTTCGCATTATCCCGGGCAACTAGTCTATCCAACGGGTTGACTTGAATATAGATAACCATAGTTATCATGTTGTACTCATGGATCTAAAATGCCTCTTTGTTCGTTGTGCCTTCTTTGCCTCACTATCACTTTAATGTGCCGCTAAGCGTTGTGAAACTATTCAATAACTGTGATGTGTTCTTATACCTTGTTTTGTTCTCAGGGTTTCTTTAGCCCAAATTTTAATGGGAATTATATAAAAGATAATAAAATTTATATCATAACTATTTGAGTATTTCTATAGCAGAAAGGAGTTTGGCCACTTGGAATATGTTTTTTGATTTTGTTTGTGATTTGTTCTTTGTGAGAATCCGCGAGGAGAAGTTTCCTACTGCATCCGTGGGCGCTAGGTGCGCTTGCATTAGGTTTACTTCATTTAGGTAGTCAGGTGTCGTCTACTTTGATTAGTAGGTACTTTTTGAACAGTCAGTAGAAAGCGTGAGGGTAATATTTAGTTGCAAGAAGACCTTAGAGGTGTAATTTTTGGGGCCATCGAGTATATCCGGAAATTAAAGCAATTGAAAGGTCGTGGCGCATCCCAAAGCATTTAGTCAGTATCCAGTTACTACATGCATTTAGAATTGAAGACGATTCACAGGCCTTCCTTTCATAGTCCTTCAGCAACTGTGATGTGGTAGACTAATAATATGGCGCTTTGTAAAGTATTTTTCTCTATAGGGCTGATCTCTGACCGACGACTGTGTTCAACCCTTGCTATCTACGTAAATATTCAGTTGCGTAGCGAGAGCGACGTTTTTCGGGCCAAACCCGATTTTTGGTTTTTTAGCACTCCACTGCATTTTCATTCAACAGCGTAACTATCGCTTTCCAGTTCTGAAATTTTATTCTGGGAAGGTGTGTTTTGGTAATAGTGCCATATTGCACTATGATCCCTAAACTTTGTATTATTTGCCTACTAGTTCGTTGTTATAAGCTTGACTTTTCATCTTTTGTCCTGTCGAATTACATTTTCTTTTTTTCCTTTACTTTTGCTTATCTCCTCTTCCTGTCTAACGAATCCTACCTCTGCCTCAGACTTCATTTTGTTTTGAGGTGTCTCTTTAAAGCACTATCAAATCGTGTAGTCATAATGTTTTATTATGCTTGAATGGAGCCTATCCCCTCGAAAATACAATCGTTGGCAACGTCAATTCACAGTTTGCGCGGAACTGAAAAGGTGTCGCTCATTTCCGAAAAGGTCGTGTGTCCGTTTCTGATCCTTATAATTTTGATGATGCTCCGCAGAAACATTTTGACGGAATCGCAGGTGACAGCTAGGGATCCTCCCTTCCTTCTCCCGAACATCGTCAACTAAAGACACATCACTACAGGCCTTGGTGGGTGTCCTGACAAGATTTAAGAAATCACCTTCTATTGGAATGTCCTTTGCCTTTCTGGCGGTAGTAATGATTGCCTCATATAAAAAATAGCTAAATGGTAGCATGTAGCAACTAAAACTAGCAGGGCGGAGTATAACCAAAGGGGG